GCTGTAGGGTTGGCTGCAACTCATGGAGATCCTACGCACAAGAGAACAAAACACTGCCCAGTCCTGCACCATCTTCATGATCTTTGATATGCTCAAGTCCATTGTTGCAGCCACTGTGTATTTTGAGTTTCTCCAACCTAGGTGGCTCATCTTCCAGCACTATATCTAACAATATTCTATTGTGATCCATAGGGTTTTCGCTGGCTAATTTTCAGAAGTAGATCTCCAGGCATTTCTTTCTAGCTTGTCTTAGTCTGGAAGCTCTGCTGAAACGTGTCCACCATGGTTGACCCTGCTGAGATTTGACATACCAGTGTCATACCTTCCAGCATCACAGCAACATGCAAGCCACCACAGTACAACAAACTGACAGACGGGTGGTGAGCAGGTTACCACGTGGCAACTGGGGCTCTGTGTTGCTGTGCCCCCTGTCCCAGGAACCATGCAGAAGAGGCTCACAATTGTACCACTAAAGGTTGGGAGCTGGATTATTAATCCACCCCCTCCATCCTCACCAGTGGAGATTGCCACGGGTACAGTAACCCCCCACACACACACATTTCCAGGCCGCCCTGTTTTGGGGTGAGCAAGCTCCCATGGCACCAAAGAAAACCTTCAGGCTTCCCCTGCAGCTACAGGTGAACACAGGTGGGCCCAGGGGATGCGGACAGGACATCAACAGTGTGTGGCACATCAGGTCTGTCTGGCTAAAACCTTGACTCTTCAGTCCACAAATGGTGTCTCCTAGCTCAGAGTTCCTCCCAGCAACATTCCAGCTGCCTTTTTCCCAAATGCAGATTCTGGGGACCTGTTGTTCCTGCTGGGAACTTGAGTAGGCCTGGGATCTGCATTTCTAACAAGCACCCAGGCGCCTTTGAAGTGCACATTCTAGCTGGAGAACCCTATGTCCAGGGGTCCCTGGGCATGGATTCGTTGCCAGGCAGTGATGTGTGTCATCTAGGCCCTGCGCACGTTAGGACTCAGGACCTGGACCTTGAGTGGGACTTTGTCTAGAAAATGCCAACCCATTGCCGTCAAATCAATTCTGACTTGTAACGACCCTATAGGACAGAGTAGAACTGCCCCATAGGGTTTCCAAAGAGCGTCTGGTGGATTTGAACTGCTGAACTTTTGGTTAGCAGCCGAGCTTTTCACCACTGTGCCACCAGGGCACAGCTAGAAAATGCCAACAGGAAAGGAGAACTCGGGGTGTCC